AAAAAAGCCACTTTTCGACCCGTCTATGGCCTGCATTAGGGGGGTCCATTTTTCAAACACAGCCGTGAATCCAGCAAATCTGAACGTACATTTGTTCTATGCAAACAATGGGTGACAACGAATGTTCTTTGGGCTCTTTTCTCGGTGAAACGAAGGCTGGGAGGAATTAGCAAAGACGTCACAAATAAACGTTTACGTTTTATTCGGTCATTCTGTCCGGCATTCTATGTGAAAGGTGCGAAAAGGAATGTTCTGTAGGCGGTTTTTCTCCTCTGAGCAAACAAATAAATGTAACAAATAGTTGGTTACATGTTGTGACTTGTGAGACCCCCAAGTCGCATGACACATGAATTCCCATGTTAGTCAATGAGAGCCGTCTTAATGAGTCGCTCCGACTTCAGAAAAGGTTCCTGTACTACGTCAAGGCGACTTCTCTGCGACTTGTGCCCATAGACTTTAATGGAAGTCGCCTCCAAGTCGGATCCTCCTCTATATTGATGTGATTTGGATCCGACATTGCAGGAAGATTACCCAGCATTCCCTGAAAGTCACTTCAAAGTTGCTTGAGCCGTGTTCACACTAATGCAGTGCGGTATATCGCATGTGAATCGCACAAGAACCGCACCGCATTCCCTGCAGATCACATGCGATTTCTGTGCGGTGCCATTTGAGACGTACATCTTTGTCATCACCAAAATACATACAGATTTTAGGGTGTCGTTAACATGCACACCTGCAGCGGTTCGCATTAATGGGGTGCAATAGTGATGCGATGCGGAGATCCGGACCAGAAATTGGACCGCATCAGTGTGAACCTGGGCTCAAAGTAGTACTCAAAGTCGCCTGACAAAACCACAATGACACCAAAGATGGGACTCTTTTCTTCCCACTGATACCAATGATGGGGCACTATTCCTCCCACTGATACCAATGATGGGGCACTATTCCTCCCACTGACACCAATGATGAGGCACTATTCCTCCCACTGATACCAATGATGGGACACTATTCCTCCCACTGACACCAATGATGGGGCACTATTCCTCCCACTGACACCAATGATGAGGCAATATTCCTCCCACTGACACCAATGATGGGGCGCTATTCCTCCCACTGACACCAATGATGGGGCGCTATTCCTCCCACTGACACCAATGATGGGGCGCTATTCCTCCCACTGACACCAATGATGGGGCGCTATTCCTCCCACTGACACCAATGATGGGGCGCTATTCCTCCCACTGACACCAATGATGGGGCGCTATTCCTCCCACTGACACCAATGATGGGGCGCTATTCCTCCCACTGACACCAATGGTGGGGCACTATTCCTCCCACTGACACCAATGATGGGGCGCTATTCCTCCTACTGACACCAATGATGGGGCGCTATTCATCCCACTGACACAATGATGGGGCGCTATTCCTCCCACTGACACCAATGATGGGGCGCTATTCCTCTCACTGACACACCAATGATGGGGCGCTATTCCTCCCACTGACACCAATGATGGGGCGCTATTCCTCCCACTGACACCAATGATGGGGCGCTATTCCTCCCACTGATACCAATGATGGGGCACTATTCCTCCCACTGACACCAATGATGGGGCACTATTCCTCCCACTGACACCAATGATGGAGCACTATTCCTCCCACTGATACCAATGATGGGACGCTATTATTCCCACTGACACCAATGATGGGGCACACTATTCCTCCCACTGACACCAATGATGGGGCACTATTCCTCCCACTGACACCAATGATGGGACGCTATTTCTCCCACTGACACCAATGATGGGGCACTATTCCTCCCACTGATACCAATGATGGGACGCTATTTCTCCCACTGACACCAATGATGGGGCACTATTATTCCCACTGACACCAATGATGGGGTCGGTTCACACCATAGAAACAATGTGTTCTGGTTCATTTTTCCCCCTCCCTTTTTCTTCAACTTAATTAGGAACATGTGCGTTTTCCCCTGCGTTTCAGTGCAGTTCTGTGCAGGAGAAATGCAGTCTGTTCTACTTTTTTTATCTGCAGAAAGCCCTGATGTGAACGATGACACCGACACCCACATCCCCTACTTTCTGTGCGTTTTGGATGCAGAAAAAAAACAACTGAACCGCATGGAGTGTGAACCGGCCCTAGATACATTTTTCTCAGTCGGGTTTTTAAATTCTGCCAACAACAGAGCCGGTGATGTCACTTTTATGTTTTCCAGGCGTGTCCCCACAATATTTGTTCTCCCCTCCCCCCATGCCTAGCAAGACGGATTTACCGCATGATTTATTCTGAGCCGCCGAGTGACGCGTCCTATAAAATGATCCCGGGTGCGGCCAATAAAACGCACTGAATAGATCCATCCCGAAAACGTGTGCCAATAACTTTCACCCTTCTCAGTGAGCGACGGGAGAAGCCGGAAGGATGACGCATGACGATGGAAGCCGGGAGATGGGGGAGGGTCCTCCCTTCCTTTTATGAGGCATCTGAATTAGAGGGATAACATGAAACTGTCACTGGTCCCGAAGTCGGCTCCGCCCAGATGTAAGCAGTGGGAGGAGTTATCTGAATCAGAGGGATAACATGAAACCGTCACTGGTCCCGAAGTCGGCTCCGCCCAGATGTAAGCAGTGGGAGGAGTTATCTGAATCAGAGGGATAACATGAAACTGTCACTGGTCCCGAAGTCGGCTCCGCCCAGATGTAAGCAGTGGGAGGAGTTATCTGAATCAGAGGGATAACATGAAACTGTCACTGGTCCCGGCGTCGGCTCCGCCCAGATGTAAGCAGTGGGAGGAGTTAAATGAATCAGAGGGATAACATGAAACTGTCACTGGTCCCAGAGTTAGAGGGATAACATGAAACTGTCACTGGTCCCGGAGTCGGCTCCGCCCAGATGTAAGCACTGGGAGGAGTTATCTGAATTAGAGGGATAACATGAAACTGTCACTGGTCCCGGAGTCGGCTCCGCCCAGATGTAGGCAGTGGGAGGAGTTATCTGAATCAGAGGGATAACATGAAACTGTCACTGGTCCCGAAGTCGGCTCCGCCCAGATGTAAGCAGTGGGAGGAGTTATCTGAATCAGAGGGATAACGTGAAACTGTCACTGGTCCCGGCGTTGGCTCCGCCCAGATGTAAGCAGTGGGAGGAGTTATCTGAATCAGAGGGATAACATGAAACTGTCACTGGTCCCGGAGTCGGCTCCGCCCAGATGTAAGCACTGGGAGGAGCTATCTGAATCAGAGGGATAACATGAAACTGTCACTGGTCCCGGAGTCAGCTCCGCCCAGATGTAAGCACTGGGAGGAGTTATCTGAATCAGAGGGATAACATGAAACTGTCACTGGTCCCGGAGTCGGCTCCGCCCAGATGTAGGCAGTGGGAGGAGTTATCTGAATCAGAGGGATAACATGAAACTGTCACTGGTCCCGGAGTCGGCTCCGCCCAGATGTAAGCAGTGGGAGGAGTTATCTGAATCAGAGGGATTACAAGAAACTGTCACTGATCCCGGAGTCAGCTCCGCCCAGATGTAAGCAGTGGGAGGAGCTATCTGAATTAGAGGGATAACATGAAACTGTCACTGATACCGGAGCTGTCTCCGCCCAGATGTAAGCAGTGGGCGGAGTTATGCAAATATCAAAATGCCTTAGGGCCAGTTCACACCACATGGAGTCCGGTGCGTTTTTTTTTTTTTGCATCAAACACTCTCGGGTTCACACCAGTGCAGTGTGGGAAACGTCCCTCGCGCCGCATTGCAATCACATCACATGCATGCGATCTGGTGCGGTGTGTCAATAATAAATTAACCCCATTGCGCCGGTGCCTCCCGGCCCTTTAAGAGTTTCAAAAGCCGGGGTTTTAGGGTAATGTGACCGCTGCGATTCGCCGTCACATGATTGAAAAAGGTCCCGATCACAAGGGGGGGTCGGGACCTTTCTGTGAGTCACGGACGTATGCGCTGGGAGCTCGCAGGGCACGCACTCTCAGCACATATGTATTTTCTAATTGCACGCAAATATGCAGCCGCTCAGCGTCAAGGCCCAGACCCCGAGAGGTCGTATATTCGTGTGCGCTCGGCATTGAGGGGTTAATGACACCCCGAAACAGATCGCAAAACGTGATGCGATTGCCAGAAATCTCCCATGCGATGCGATTCAGGTGCAGATTTAAAAAAAAAAGCCCTGCACCTTTTTTGGTGCGGATGCCATGCGATTTGAGCCGTACAAAGTGTTTGGCTCAAATCGCATCGCACAGACATTTGCGTGTAATTTGCACAGCAATGCAGTGCGATTCCCGTGCGAATTCCATGCGCTGTCCCACACAAACACAGTGTGCTGTCATAGTAGTCAGTTCCAGAAAATAAAAGTAGAACATGGTACATTTTTTCTGCACTGAACTGTACTGGACCGCAGTAAAATGCTTCAAAATCGCACCAAAAAAGCAACTAACTGCAACAAAAACACACCAGAACGTGCATGACCTTTTTATGGGCCGGCCCACACCGCATGCATTCCAGTGCGTTTTTTTTTTCTGCATCAAAAACACATTGATAGTAGGTTACATGCTTTCCAATGGCATCGTTCACACCAGTGCTTTCCAGTTTCAGGAAAAAAAAAAGTAGAACAGGCGACATTTTTTCTGCACTGAACTGTACTAGAATGCAGTAAAACGCACCAAAAAGTAACTAACCGCACCAGAACGCACGTCCTTATTAAAGTTGAAGAAAAAGAAAGGAAAAAAATGAACCGAAATGCGTCAAAAACACGGAAACAGAAACGCACCCAGAATGCATTTCTATGGTGTGAAACGGCCCTTAAGGTCTGTAAGGCTGAAGGGGAGGAGCCGGTACACCTGTGCAAGACTGAAGGGGAGGAGCCGATACACCTGTGCAAGACTGAAGGGGAGGAGCCGATACACCTGTGCAAGACTGAAGGGGAGGAGCCAGTACACCTGTGCAACACTGAAGGGGAGGAGCCAATACATGTGCAAGACTGAAGGGGAGGAGCCGGTACACCTGTGCAAGACTGAAGGGGAGGAGCCGGTACACCTGTGCAAGACTGAAGGGGAGGAGCCAGTACACCTGTGCAAGACCGAAGGGAGGAGCCGCTACATCTGTGCAAGACTGAAGGGGAGGAGCTGCTACAACTGAGCAAGACCGAAAGGAGGAGTCCGGTACACCTGTGCAAGACTGAAGGGGGAGGAGCCGGTACACCTGTGCAAGACTGAAGGGGAGGAGCCAGTACACCTGTGCAAGGCTGAAGGGGAGGAGCCGGTATACCTGTGCAAGACTGAAGGGGAGGAGCCAGTACACCTGTGCAAGACTGAAGGGGAGGAGCCGGTACACCTGTGCAAGACTAAAGGGGAGGAGGTAGAACAACTGTGCAAGATTGAAGGGGAGGAGCTGGTATACCGCCACAAGACTGAAGGGGAGGAGCCGCTACTACTGAGCAAGACCGAAGGGAGGAGCCGGTACACCTGTGCAAGAATGAAGGGGAGGAGCCGGTACACCTGTGCAAGACTGAAGAGGAGGAGCTGGTACACCTGTGCAAGGCTGAAGGGGAGGAGCTGGTACACCTGTGCAAGACTGAAGGGGAGGAGCTGGTACACCTGTGCAAGACTGAAGGGGAGGACCTGGTATACCTGTGCAAGACTGAAGGGGAGGAGCCGGTACACCTGTGCAAGACTGAAGGGGAGGAGCTGGCACACCTATGCAAGACTGAAGGGGAGGAGCTAGAACAACTGGGCAAGACTGAAGGGGAGGAGCTGGTATACCCGCCACAAGACCGAAGGGAGGAGCCGGTACACCTGTGCAAGATAGAAGGGAAGGACAGATTTAAGCTGGACGTAGGAAAAAAAAAAGATACACATGGAATTGCAGTTCTGTTTGGCTAGTCTTGTGATCCCGCCACCCCTGCCAGACAGCACAGCCAGAGTACATAAAGTTCATTGCAGAAGTTGCCTAGAGTAGTGAGGTTTCTCTCCTCTGTTGGGTTTCCACTGTGGAGTCTCCAAGGAGGAATCCACCAAAAAGCGGAACGAATAAAGCCCAGGTTTGGTTTCACTCAGGTTCTCATATCACAAAATCCAACATGTTTCATAGATTCTCCCCTTCCTCGGGGCGTACAGCCAGACTCCCATCAGAACTAATACCTCTCCATTCCAAAATCATTCCCTTCCCATAGCTGGACCTGCAATATCTTCTTCAATAGACCCAGATGTCCATAATTACACATTCCTGAAAGAGCGCCACCACAAGGCTGGACTGTGCTATCATCTGCCGCTCTCTGTCTATGGTGTCTCTTTATGAGCCGGCTACTGGTCGTGTATAGTTCCTGCAGGACAGTTCTGAGGTCAGTACATCAACACGCCCGCAGGGGGGTGGACATGTTCAGTATTCCCTCTGGTCCTAAAGGTATACTCCACCTTTTTTTGCAAAGATTAATAAATGCCCCCACATTCAATTAAAAAAATTAAATTTACAGTTTTTTCCATTGAAACAAATCAATTGCAACCCCAATCAGCGGATCCTGGGTGCAATGCACAGGCTTCTGCAGACTATTCCTCCAGCCACAGTATCAATGTTGTGGCATCGCCACTGAGATCTTCAAGTCCCTCTGCAGTGGTGGCAAATGGAACTTGTGGTCCCTCCATTCACAGATCTCTGCAAATGGATTTGGTGGCTGTGTGGACAGAAGCCAAGAGCCGACCTTCATCCACCACTCAGTCCCTATTCAAGCCAAGAGCCAGCCTTTGACCACCACTCAGTCCTTATTCAAGCCAAGAGTTGACCTTCGACCACCACTCAGTCCCTATTCAAGCCAAGAGCCAGCCTTTGACCACCACTCAGTCCTTATTCAAGCCTAAAGCTGACCTTTGACCACTCAGTCCCTTTTCAAGCTAAGAGCCAATCTTCCACCACCACTCAATCCCCATTCAAGCCAAGAGTCAACCTTTGACCACCACTCAGTCCATCTTTGAGCCAAAAGCTGACCTTCAACCACCACTGTCCCCATTCAACCCAAGAGTCAACCTTCGACTACCACTGTCCCCATTCAAGCCAAGAGTTGACCTTTGACCACCACTCAGTCCCTATTCAAGCCAAGAGCTGACCTTTGACCACCACTCAGTCCCTATTCAAGCCAAGAACTGGCCTTTGACCACCACTCAGTCCCTATTCAAGCCAAGAGTTGACCTTCAACCACCATTCAGTCCCTATTCAAGCCAAGAGCCAGCCTTTGAACACCACTCAGTCTCTATTCATGCCAAGAGCCGACCTTTGACCACCACTCAGTCCCTATTCAAGCGAAGACTCGCACTTCAACCACCACTCGGTCCATATTCAAGCCAAGAGCTGACCTTCGACCACCACTAAATCTCCATTTAAGCCAAGAGTCGACCTTTGACCAACACTAAGTCCCTATTTAAGTCAAGAGCTGACCTTCAACTACCACTCAGTCCCTATTCAATCCAAGAGTTGGAATTTGACCACCACTCACTCCTTATTCAAACCTAAAGCTGACCTTCAACCACCAATCAGTCCCTATTCAAGCCAAGAGTTGGCCTTCAACAACCACTTAGCTCCTATTCAAGCCAAGAGTTGACCTTTGACCACCACTCAGTCCCTATTCAAATCAAGAACTGCATTTTGACCACCTCTCAATCCCTATTCCAGCCTAGAGCCAACCTTCAACCCTCCCTGGGAGAGAGAAAGAAGAATCGTTCCCCCACACCCCACAACCTTTTTCTACTTCCCAACATCTGTATTGCTCTGTGTCCCCGCTTAGAAATTATACCCTCACTAATTTTTTTCCTGGACGACCGTTGTCACCACGACTGAACATCAGGGAAAATCCAAAATATTGAGTTGCCACCAAAAGAGGGATAGAGGGGAACTCTTCCAATGGTGAAAACTATCCCTTAAATGTGGTAAATGCTTTCTCACTTCCTGTTGTGTTTGTAGTCAAATCCCCCCCCCCCCCAAAAAAAAAAAACAAAAACATGACAGGGGTTTAACCCTTCCTTACTCTATCCAAAATGGAAAAAAAAAATGTTAATGCTTTGGATGTGCTGGATCACTGACCTGTCCTCAGACTGCTAAAGGAGAAGAGATATAATAATGACTACTGGACCCTCCTGTAGGCGTGTTTACTGTGTTAGAATGACAGCACTGTAGAAAACAGTAGTGAATGCTGCCCATCCGTCACCCGTAGGTGCTACTGTGCAGGGGCATAGAGGGAGCCGCTACAAACACAGATTTGTGTAGTTATGGTAACTCCATGCTACTCTTAGGTGTCTATTTTTATTTTTTTAAATTTGCATAGCCATTCGACCAATGGTCACATCTATTCGCTACTTCCCTTTAACGTTCTCTAGAATCGTTACATTGTATCTCTTCCTACAACAATGTATGCATTTCTTATGCTCTTCGGCTCCATCTGGTGGCCATAATGCAGTATTTTACCAGTACCCGTGATATAAAAAAAGAACATTCGTATACAAAAGAAAGAGCCTAAAGGACAGTCATTTTTTGCCCAATTCACACAAAACAAATGTACGTGCAGATTCACGGCGCAAAGGTCTATGCATTTATATATATATATATATATATATATATATATATATATATACACACACTCTCTCTGTATACAGTATGTGTGTATATATATATATATATATATATATATATATATATACACACATATATATATAGAGAGAGAGAGTGATAGAATATATATATATTTTTTGTGTGCGTGTGTGTGTGTATATATATATATATATATATATATACACACACATACACATATATATAATATATTTACACAGTGTGTGTAGATATATATATATATATATACATACACACACACACACATATATATATATATATATATATATATATATATACAGTCAGGTCCATAAATATTGGGACATCGACACAATTCTAACATTTTTGGCTCTATACACCACCACAATGGATTTGAAATGAAACAAACAAGATGTAATTTAACTGCAGACTGTCAGCTTTAATATGAGGGTATTTACATCCAAATCAGGTGAACGGTGTAGGAATTACAATAGTTTGCATATGTGCCTCCCACTTTTTAAGGGACCAAAAGTAATGGGACAATTGGCTTCTTAGCTGTTCCATGGCCAGGTGTGTGTTATTCCCTCATTATCCCAATTACAATGAGCAGATAAAAGGTCCAGAGTTCATTTCAAGTGTGCTATTTGCATTTGGAATCTGTTGCTGTCAACTCTCAAGATGAGATCCAAAGAGCTGTCACTATCAGTGAAGCCATCATTAGGCTGAAAAAACAAAACAAACCCATCAGAGAGATAGCAAAAACATTAGGCGTGGCCAAAACAACTGTTTGGAACATTCTTAAAAAGAAGGAACGCACCGGTGAGCTCAGCAACACCAAAAGACCCGGAAGACCACGGAAAACAACTGTGGTGGATGAGCGAAGAATTCTTTCCCTGGTGAAGAAAACACCCTTCACAACAGTTGGCCAGATCAAGAACACTCTCCAGGAGGTAGGTGTATGTGTGTCAAAGTCACCAATCAAGAGAAGACTTCACCAGAGTGAATACAGAGGGTTCACCACAAGATGGAAACCATTGGTGAGCCTCAAACACAGGAAGGCCAGATTAGAGTTTGCCAAACGACATCTAAAAAAGCCTTCACAGTTCTGGAACAACATCCTATGGACAGATGAGACCGACATCAACTTGTACCAGAGTGATGGGAAGAGAAGAGTATGGAGAAGGAACTGCTCATGATCCTAAGCATACCACCTCATCAGTGATCATGGTGGTGGTAGTGTCATGGCGTGGGCATGTATGGCTGCCAATGGAACTGCTTCTCTTGTATTTATTGATGATGTGACGGCTGACAGAAGCAGCCGGGATGAATTGTGAAGTGTTTCGGGAATATTATCGGCTCATATTCAGCCAAATGCTTTAGAACTCATTGGACGCTTCACAGTGCAGATGGACAATGACCCAAAGCAGACTGCAAAAGCAACCAAAGAGTTTAAGGGAAAGAAGTGGAATGTTCTGCAATGGCCAAGTCAATCACCTGACCTGAATCCGATTGGGCATTTCACTTGCTGAAGACAAAACTGAAGGGAAAATGCCCCAAGAACAAGCAGGAACTGAAGACAGTTGCAGTAGAGGCCTGGCAGAGCATCACCAGGGATGACACCCAGCGTCTGGTGATGTCTATGCGTTCCACACTTCAGGCTGTCATTGACTGCAAAGGATTTGCAACCAAGTATTAAAAAGTGAAAGTTTGATTTATGATTATTATTCTGTCCCATTACTTTTGGTCCCTTAACAAGTGGGAGGCACATATGCAAAGTGTTGTAATTCCAACACTGTTCACCTGATTTGGATGTAAATACCCTCAAATTAAAGCTGACAGTCTGCAGTTAAAGCACATCTTGTTCGTTTCATTTCAAATCCATTGTGGTGGTGTATAGAGCCAAAAATGTTAGAATTGTGTTCATGTCCCAATATTTATGGACCTGACTGTATATATTCCCCTTAGAGAAGAAGTGGCTTTGATAACAAAAGCCTGACTGGTGATGGGACTCGGACTACACAGACTTTGACCTATTTTGCTCCGACGCCTCCGCCGGCGCTTTCCGAGTTTCTACATGCCTGGCGGCAGAGGTGGGCATTCCGATCATGTGACTGCTGTGATTGGCATCGGGAGTTTTCCTGTACCCTCCGGTTACTGTGCCGGGAGCGCGTAGTAAAGTGTTTGCATAGGGGCGTATATATGCGGCCGCTTGGCGTGAAAGCCCACCCCCCGAAAGGTGGCATATATGCGTCTGCCCGGCGTGACGTGGTTAAGTAAAAAAAAAAAAACTACCGTGGGCTGGAATTTAATTGCAGGATTTGTGCGGTCATGGGGGATCGGTCATTCAGTCAGGATACTGGAAATGCAGCTGTTCAGATTAAGTCGTCACGCACACGGGACGTTATTACAGCGGCTGTTTTTGGCTTTTGGCGTTTTTTTTTCTACGCCCAGTAAACCCCCCAGCATGTTATCCTATGTGTCCATACACACACAGACTGGAATCAACATTTTTTGGCTGGAAAAACAACCCCCCAGGACTAGCGGGTTTCTAGAGGAGTTTTTTCAGCTGTAAAAATGCTCTAACGCTGATAAAGGCTGAAAAATGCAAACAAACCCGCAGCTATCTGGCGTTTATGAGCGTTATTTTTAGCCTGAAGATTGTGTGGGAGTATAACTTTGCTGAAAAACACTAAAAACCGCTGAAAAAAGCTAGTGCCAAAAAAGCTAAAAAGTGCAAAAAAACTCACGTTTTTATTGCGGCATTCTACAGCTAACGCGTTTTATAACGTCCGGTGTGCACGAGGCCTCAAGCTGATCTCCGGGCATAAATGACAACTCCAATAAATGATGAATGCAGCTCTGCAATCATGAATACATCATGAAATTCCCGGTTGCACTGGGTGCGGCTTGGCATGCGATTCGCATTGCCATGCAACTTCCAAATCACATGCCAAGTCGCACCCTATTGTCCACAATTACAGCGGCCCGCATTGCTGCGTTTCCCACTCGGTTGGAGCCGCACCGATTTCTGAAGTAGTACGTGCGATACTTTTGGTGCGATTTGTATAGACATCTGTCTTGCAAATCGCACCTGAAATCGGCGTGTCCCCCCCCCCCCGACTTTGAAATCGTGCGACTTCACTGTAAGTCGCACGCAGGGGCGGACTGACCATTTGGAAACTTGGGCACTTGGGATCAGTAGGGGGCCCCATGAGATGCCCCTGGTACCTTTTTCATAGGCTTTTTTGAGTTTGGGCAAGGACACAGGGGCCCCATGATCCCCTATTGTCCGGGGGCCCCATGAGTTGTCAGTCCGCCCCTGGTCGCAGGATTTCAAAGTCGGGCTTGATGCGACCGGGGTGTAAAGGCATAAGTGCCTGTGTGTGACCTGGTATCAGCCCCATGGACAGCAGAGCTCAGACTGGTGGGGGGGGGGGAGGCAGTGACTGAGAGAGAGTGACAGAGGGAGGACCTCATCAGTCTTCTGCTTCTCCCATCACTGTCCAGTCACAGGCTGGGGAGGAGGATCAGGCACTGCGGATAAGGTCTCCTGTCCTGTCAGACAGGGCTGTGCTATGTAGCAGAGGTGTGTAAATCTCAGGACTGGATGGACAGAAATACGAATCCTTTGCTGCCACCGATATATGTATTTCATTGACATATTTAGCAGTTGGCCCGGAGTCCGGCTTTAGGAAGCCTTCGAAGCCATGTAAACACGGTAGGTAAAAGCGAATGGACCTCTGGATACGTCTAGCACTCAGTAAGGCATAAATAAAGTGACGCCCACCCCCCCCGCTTTCGTTTGCCCCTCGCCCTGTAGAATTCTGCAATATGAGACTGTCTAGAGGAGCAATGGTGAAGTCTCTGAACGTTTCCCAGCCATCCTGCACCGCTTATAGTGAGAAAACCATTTTTGTTGGCGCCGTGTCCGCCGTTTACGGTGGTCAGGTGACCTTTTTTCAGCCTAAGCGCTCTTTTCCTATCACAATGCGGTCCGTTGTCGGATTTCGATGCGTATCAGACTCCGATATTACAATTCAATGTGTAGTTGAGTCCGTTTTTTTTTTTTTGGTCTTTCTCGGGACATAATCCCCCGCGGCCATCTGTGCCGTCCGGTCAATTGGACCTCTGGCCTTCGGTTTGAAGGAACGTTTCGTCGCACTCATGTTGGGATGGTTAGGAACAAAAAATAAAACCTGAAATATTTCAAAGTAGCAGCGGCGGCGGCGGCGCTGCGCAATCTTCCGACCCCGGGAGAGGCTTGACTTGCCGTTGACCTGCGGCGTGAAGGCCCTCCCAACCAAGACTGTACATAGGAGACAAGTGAGGTGGAGGTGGAGGCCGGGAAGGCCGCTGACCGTTCTCTGCTTTTGTTTCGTTTTTTTTTTTATTGGTTGTTTTAAATTCCTTCCTTGGAAATGCCACGTCCAACCGGCCACGTCTCCACTCAAGTATCAGGCATGCGCGACCTCTTGCGCCTTTTAGACTTCTTGGTCTGTGCCAGGAGCTCCGAGGTATTCCTCTCACTTCTCTCTCCAGCCCCCCGAGAGCCGACCTCAGCGTACACACCTGCAATTGGCCGCCGACAGATGCGACACGAACTGCCAGTTGTTGGCGACGTCCATGAAGGACACATTCATGTAGCTGGTGGGGCGGCAGCACGGATGGTTGCTGACCCGGTCGTGGGCGCTGTGGGTGATGCGCTTGTGTTTGAGCAGGGAGGTCAGCGTGACGTCGTAAATGTTGCGGTGTTGCTGGCACGAGCCGCTGCAGTAGAAGAAGGTAATCAATTCGTCGGAGTCGAAGCCCAGGCCTAAGTCCCGTACACGAACCCTCAGGCTTTGCCTTCGGCAACCTTTTTCCCCGTCGTTGTTCTTCTCCTTCGCACGGCTTGCAGACTTTTTGTTCTTTTTCGACTTCGCCGAGGCTTCTGGGGAGCGCTCCGAGCGAAACAAGATGTCTGGCAATTCGTCGTCGCTGTGCGCTTCCAGGGTCGCATTTTCTAAAAGACAAACATAAAGCAGTTTAATCATTATCATTCGTCATTTATATAGTGAAACATCTTGTATTCTGGTGCCTGTATAGGGGTAATAGATGTAATGAGAGTGTCAGGACCTGGATCACCTGCTGGTGGCATTGTGCTTCCCATAGCGGAAGGTTGTAGTTCTGGTTTTCCCCAGCGGTTGCCTCCCAGCAGCCAGCAGATCCCAGTAATAAGTTTCCACCTGATGCTGGCCGCTGGGAGGGTATTTAGGTCCTCCCCTATAAGTGCCTCTTGCTCCAGTGTTTTGTTTGCTGTCAGATAGCCGTTATCCTGTTCCCTGTATGCTGTACCCTGTATCCTTCTGCCTTGTACCTTTCTCCCTTTTTCCTGATCCCAGTTTTGGTTCCCCCTTCCCATCTGCTCCCTGCGCCTCCAGTTTTCTCCTGCTTTTCTGTGTTCTCCATTTTTTATATATTGTATATAGGTAGTTCTTCGTCAGGTATTCTGTCACTCAGCGTGCTTTTGTAGAGAGTCCTGATAATCCAGCAGACAGCATAGAATGAAAGAGGGAGGAACTATGGTGGATATATAGTGTCAGGACCTGGATCACTTACTGGTGGCATTATGCTTCCCATAGCGGAAGGTTGTAGTTCCGGTTTTCACCAGTGGTTGTCTCCCAGCAGCCATTAGATCCCAGTAATAAGTTTCCACCTGATGCTGGCCGCTGGGAGAGTATTTAGGTCCTTCCCTATAAGTGCCTCTTGTGCCAATGTTTTGTTTGCTGTCAGATACTGCTAGCCGCTATCCTGTTCCCTGTATGCTGTACCTTGTATCCTTCTGCCTTGTACCTTTCTCCCTTGTTCCTGATCCCAGTTTTGGTTCCCCCTTCCCATATGCTCCCTGCACATCCAGTTTTCTCCTGCTTTTCTGTGTTCCCCATTTTTTATATATTGTATATAGTTAGTTGTTCGTCAGGTATTCTGTCACTCAGCGTGCTCTTGTACAGAGTCCTGATAATCCAGCAGACAGCTTAGAATGAAAGAGGGAGGAACTATGGTGGATATATAGTGTCAGGACCTGGATCACCTGCTGGTAGCATTGTGCTTCCCATAGAGGAAGGTTGTAGTTACAGTTTTCACCAGTGGTTGTCTCTCAGCAGCCAGCAGATCCCAGTAATAAGTTTCCACCTGATGCTGGCCACTGGGAGGGTATTTAGGTCCTCCCCTATAAGTGCCTCTCGCGCCAGTGTTTTGTTTGCTGTCAGATACTGCTAGCCGTTATCCTGTTCCTTGTATGCTGTACCTTGTATCCTTCTGCCTTGTACCCCACTCCCTTGTTCCCAGTTTTGGTTCCCCCTTCCCACCTGCTCCCTGCACCTCCAGTTTTCTCCTGCTTTTCCGTGTTCCCCATTTTTTATATATTGTATGTACTGTAGTTAGTTGTTAGTCAGGTATTCTGTCACTCGGTGTGCTCTTGTAGAGAGTCCTGATAATCCAGCAGACAGGGTAGAATGAAAGAGGGAGGAGCTATGGTGGATATAGCACAGAAAGGTTACTGAAGAACAAGAGGGAGGTATAGTTGCAAAAAGTGTGGATTCCAGGCTGAGGTGGGCTTAGCTTCCTCCTTCTTAACTCAGATCCTGCTAGCAGGGGTTGCTGTGGGCTTTGAACCCTCTCTCTGATCCCTGAATTTCAGTCTGAGGCTCTCTGTGTAATGGGGGCACCCTGCTCTGGAGTGGGAAGCTGTAGGTTTGAAGCCTCCCTGGTCTGGCGTGCCACTGCCGCTGAGAGAATGGGGTGGGGTATTTGGAAGAGACACTTTGCCTTCATGGGCAAGGCCACAGTGCCTATTTGAGATGAGCACCCTCTTCCTGCTGCGTTCTCCATATAAAATAGATTTTAAAAAAACATCTCTCTTACTCACCATAAGCAGAAGTCCAGGTTGACCTAATAGACACATCTATGTTCTCCTCCACCACAAATTCATTGTTCCTGGGGTCAGGCACTGCTAGGCTGTCGCGTTCTGCATTGGGCCGACTTTCCATGATTGGACTCGAGGACACAGTAGTAGCCATGAATGACAGCAGCAGCAGCGACACTAGCAGAGTCCAGAGTGTTACCTGGTGGACAAAAAGAAACAGTGGTCAATGTTCATGTACTCTACACCGAACAAATGTAAAATATGTAAATCAGACACCCACCCCCCAAAAAAATACTCACAATAATCACATCCTGGAATTAGAATTTTGTATTTAAGAGAGAGAGAGAGAGAGGATACATTGCCCAGAAGACTTTTTGCACAGTAAGTGAAAGTTGAACTTAGCTACTTGTTTCTGGTCTTCCTTCCTGTCACTTACACCCCTGTTCCCGCAGACTGATGATTGTCCTTCGTTTCATTGCAGCCAATCCTCATTAAAGCACCTAAATTTCACCCACCCCTATTGCACTGTGGAGTTGATTTCATTACATTTGCAACAAAACTTAGTGCCCAACGTGGGGCCTCTCATCATATATCCAACAAAATGAAGCCCAGCAGGGGCCTCTCATCAAATGTCCAACAAAATGGTGCTCTATGTGGGCCTCTCATCATATGAGCAACAAAACGGAACACAACAGGAGCTTCTCATCATATTGCAATAAAATGGTTCCCAATGTGGGGCTTTTCATCATATGTGCAAGAAAATGGCACCCAACATGGGGCCCTTCATTATATGCCCAACGAAATGGTGCCCAACTTGGGGACCTATCATATGTGCAACAAAATGGTACCCAACATAGAACATCTCAACATGGGGGTCTCTCAAATGTGCAACAAATGGTGCTCTACATGGGCCTATCATCATATGTGCAACAAAATGGAACCCAACGTAGAACATCTCAACATGGGGGTCTCTCAAATGTGCAAAAAAATGGTGCTCTGCATGGGCCTATCATCATATGTGTAACAAAATAGCACAAAACGGGATTCTCATCATCATATGGGCAACAAAATGGTGCCCAACATGGCAACCTATCTTCATATGTGCAATAAAATGGCATCCAACATGGGTCCCTTCATCATATGCACAACGAAATGGTGCCCAACTTGGGGACCTATCATATGTGCAACAAAATGGTACCCAACGTAGAGCATCTCATCATATGAGCTAGGCCCATATCTGGCCTAGCTGTACACCCTGGATCTCAATGTAAAATTGCAGTGTATACGGACAATCTTTTAGTTTCCGTAACAAACCTGCTCATATCGCTTCGGAACCTTTTAGCGGAGATAAGCCGACACAGCTCCCTCTCCAATTTAAAAAATCAGAAGCCCTCTACTTTCCAGACTACTTTCCAGACTCCATGCTCCAGCGCTTGCAATAGAACTTCCAGTTTAAGTGGTTTAAATTCAATGTTAAACATTTTGGCATCCACCTTATTGTGGATTTATCAATGGCCTTCCAAATAAACTTTCCTGCCCTTCTTCTGAAAAGCAAGCGAGACTTACTAGCATGGCCTAGAGGGAGGGATGTTCTCAGGGTTTGGCCACTGTAATATTTTGAAACGAATTTTATGCCACGCATTTTGTATCTCCTCCTGGCCCTACCAATCTATGTCCTGACCTCCTTTATCAAGGCAATGAACAGGCTGTTTTTGCAATTCCTTTTGGCCCACAAACCACTTAGTCTCCCTTATAGGATTTTGAGACTAGCTAAACCTCATGGGGGCAATGCTCTCACAGATTTTGTGGGATACTACACCACATGCCATCTAACTAGAATGATAGATTGGTGCTGCCATGGTCAGTTCAAGCACTGGGTCATGATAGAACAGGCTGCTTCAGTGTTCCCATTTATGGCCCTCCTATGGTGTGTAAATGATGTCCCCTTTGACTTAAAGCACACCCTACCATTGGAGCTACCTGAAAGCTTTGCAAGAAGGTATTTCCCGTGGCTGGATGGGGGTCGAGTTTGCTTCCAGAGATCAGGTATGCAGCTTTTGCCATGTTAACAAGGTGGGGTAAGACGGATTGCTTATAAGTCTTCCGCGGCATGGCATGATGGTGTAAAAGGAACCAGGCTGGGTCCAGGGGAATTTGGTGGTCTGTAAAGTTTTGAGAGATTTGTCTTACTTCGTCCCAGAAACTCTCATGTCCATGGGCATCCCCACACCTCCAGCAACGATCCGGGAGAGTGTGTGTACATGTAGTTGAGTTTAGCCGGAGTCAAGTACCATCTTGTTAGAACCTTGTAATTCAGTTCTTGGAACAGACGGTTACTTTATGAGAAAAGGATAATATTCTGTTGAGTTGGTCGCCAGTAAAAATTAATTGTAGATTGCATTCCCACTTGACAATGAAAGGCGGTTGAAAATACTTAGAAGGAGTGTTGACAAAATTGGACATGAGCGAAACTGAGTGTCTCATGGGGTGGTATCCATGCACTCCCTTTAAAAGGGGGTAAGGTCACGCTTAAACATTGGTCAGAAACGAGTGGTCAGAAAGTGAGAGAGTTGGGCTTTCCCCAAAAGTCCATGAACTGAAGTTGAGGATAAGCCATCATCACACTGGTCATGGGCCAAGAGCTTCCTTGGGTGATCTGGCGAGCCCGAAAAACTTGGGCAACTGCAAGCTCTTTAAAGTGTGGCCTGTCATATGTGCAACAATAATGGTGCCCAATGTGGAGCCTCTCATTACATGTGCAACAATAATGGTACCCAATATGGAGCCTCTCATTACATGTGCAACAATAATGGTACCCAATATGGAGCCTCTCATTATATGTGCAACAATAATGGTGCCCAATGTGAAGCCTCTCATTATATGTGCAACAATAATGGTGCCCAATGTGGAGCCTCTCATTATATGTGCAACAATAATAGTGCCCAATGTGGAGCCTCTCATTATATCTGAAACAATAATGGTGCCCAATGTGGAGCCACTCATTATATGTCCCACAATAATGGTGCCCAATGTGGAGCCTCTCATTACATGTGCAACAATAATGGTGCCCAATATGGAGCCTCTCATTATATGTGCAACAATAATGGTGCCCAATATGGAGCCTCTCAT